CGACTCCGTAGTCTTGCTGAGTAACATCATTGTCCTACTGACAGGTCTTCGGAACAAGTTGTCAGTTAACTTGGAAAACGATAGCAAAAAAACTGATATACAAACAAGAGCGTGCAACGGACTCAAAAACAGGGATGTCGATAGGTATTCCATCGACGGCGCATCCATCAACACTAACGACGACGTGTCGAGGCTCAGTACCATCATTACGTCGACGGTACTGAACTCCCTAGGCAAACTCGGGTCTCCCAGCTCAGGGTCCCCAAACACAACAGTGGTTCCCAAAAACCCTGCAGGTGATTCGACCCACGTTAAGAGAGCCCAAAAGAACCAGGCATCACTGCCTAAGCCGAGCAACCCAAGTGTTGGTGCACGGAAAATAACTGGTGATTTAGTCGCACAGTCTACCCCCAAGACTGTTCGTCCGGCCAATAAAGAGCCCATGATTCAAAACGCACACTGACCTCCAAACAACAAGTTACTAAACCTGAACCCATCGTGAAACCTGGTAAATTAACAACAGTTCGTGACGATTCTCTCATTATCATGAACCTCGTTGACAATCCTGATCTTCCTCTCAGTCTGCAGGACAAAAACGACAGGATGCTCTGGGGTGAATTGAACAAGAAGCTTGAACTTCCTAGAATAGAGCCTTTGACGGTCACCCGGCTCACTCGAGGAAAGGATTCTAAGCATCTAAATCACCCGAGGCTTCTCCGAGTAACACTTAAGGATGCTACCGACGTAGAGGACGTCTTGCTAGCAAGCCACTTGCTGAAATCAGATGGTAACGTAAGAATACTGCCCGACATACCGTACTCTGAGCGCAGTATCATACGAAACGTCCCTAAAGAATCTCGCGAGAAGTTTTTCCGCGGAAGAAACATAATTGTCCAAGGTATACCGGAAAATGCAGACCCTACCCAACCAAATTCTGACATCAGGGAATGGAAATTCATCAAACAGTCCTTGAGGCTCAAACACATACTGACTCAGCATGTGACGAGACTAGCCAAGAAGGACGGTGATCTTAGACCCCGTCTAATGAAGATAACCTTCCCATCTTCCCACATGGCGGCTGCAGTTCTGGAAGCATTTCGTGCTAATAGACGTCGATTGCCACCTGGAATCCACATGCACCCGGATAGGCCATACGAAGTTAGGACCAAGAACAAAGGCAAGTTGGAGCTGACCATTCCACTTGTGGACTGTCTAAACGATAAAAAAAACGTGTAAAGGACAGGGCCTACCACCTCGGCAAACCTCACATAGGTGGGCTACCTGTCCATTCACACAAGGTTCATACAGAAAAACAGGACGAAGCTCACGCGTTCCAAATTGAAAGCATAAACTGCTTATATATGAACGCCGCGAGTCTACCAAACAAACTGGATGAACTACGTGAACTTAGCAGCGCTAATAAGGCCCATCTGATAGGAATATCTGAAACCTGGATATCTTCTCAGTTCTCGGACCAAGAGTTAGCATTGACTGGGATGACTTTGTTCCGCAACGACAGAAAAACAGGAATTGGGGGCGGAGTAGCCATATACATAAGCTCTTGCTTGGAGGTGCACCAGGTTCACAACCTCGAGTTTAACAATCTTGAGGAATCCATATGGTGCTCTGTAAGACTGTCTAGTACTTCCAGGTGTCTAGTCGGAGTCATTTACAGGAAGCCAACTGCCGACACCGAGTACGATAGTCGTATGCTGGAAGGACTATCCCGCTCTATCCGTCTCGGTTTCACACACATCCTGATTCTAGGGGACTTTAATCTCCCTAGAGTCAACTTCGCGGAACACACGTACACTGGAGGCGACAACTCAATTGAAGCTCGGTTCTACAACCTCATCGATAACTTGGGCTTATATGAAAATGTGAGGTCGGCAACTCGTTGGAGAAACAGTCAGACACCATCGCGCTTAGACTGTGTATTCACTAACGAAGAATTCCTAGTCGACAACCTCTCAATCCTGGCTCCTCTGGGAAAAAGCGATCATGCCGTCATAGCCTTCAGTTTTGTCATCAAAACTAAGCTAAGGTATCCCAACAATAATTTGCGTTGGAATTTTAAACGGCTGAACGTGCCAGCTCTACATGACTATCTACAACAGGTCGTTTGGGATGTTCACCCTCAAATCGATGTGGATGGTCATTGGGACTTTTTACTGCACACGCTCTTATGTGCTACAGACCATTCAGTTCCTCAAACGGTTCCCAAGAGCTTCAAGCCACCTACAGTAATCAAGAACCGTACCCTTCGCCTCCTAAGCCGCAAACGGCACTGTTGGGCGGAATACAAACGAACTAATAACGATGGAGCGTATAGGCAATACAAACATATCAGGAACACATGCACGAAGGCTATAAGAGAAGACAGGCTTCAGTACCAAACAAAGCTTATGGACAAATTCGCCTCTAACCCTAGAAGCCTATTCCGTTATGCAGCCTCTCTTCGTCAAGCCAAAACAGGAGTTTCTCAACTGCTAGGTCTTAACGGCCCGACCAACAACGATGGCGACGCCGCTAACCTTCTGGCGGCCCATTACTCTCAAACATTTCAACCGGCTGACATCAACTTTATTGACGACAGTTTCATCTCCAACTCCACAGGACTTTCTGAAGTGGACCTAAGCGCTGACTTGGTGTTCCGGAAATTGCAGCACTTAAGACTTGACACTTCTCCTGGCCCGGATATGGTTCATCCTGCCATACTGAGGGAGGCAGCCTCAATCCTGGCAACGCCGCTTAGCGTGATGTTTTCACACTCGCTTAGCCGAGGCAAATTACCGGAAAACTGGAAGTTGGCTCACATCACACCAATTTTCAAAGGTGGTCGACGCAATGAACCTTCAAGTTATCGGCCGGTGGCTCTTCTGTCATTACCTTCAAAACTCATGGAGTCCCTGATATGCGACGGTTTAAATGACTATCTACTGTCCTTAAATTTCTTCTCACCCCAACAGCATGGTTTCAGGAAGGGTTACTCCTGTATAACCAACCTGCTGACTGCGGTGGACAAATGGACAAGCATCCTCGATTGCAAGGGAAAGGTTGACGTCATTTACCTTGATTTCTCAAAAGCTTTTGATAAGGTTAACCACTTATGTCTTATCAACAAGCTCAAACGACTAGGTATCAAACCACCTCTAATCGATTGGCTTACTTCATACCTAAAAAATCGACACTTTAAGGTTAGGGTTAATTTCACTTTATCTCAGGCTATGGAATGTCCTAGTGGGGTCCCCCAGGGCTCAGTACTAGGGCCTCTTCTCTTCTTGATCTACATAAATGATCTTCCTCAACAGGTAACGTCAGATTTATTACTTTTTGCCGACGACGTGAAACTTTGGAGAGAGATACGCAACCAAGACGATACACAGGCACTTCAGGATGATCTGACGCGACTTCAAAGTTGGGCAGACGATAACGGACTTACCTTTAACACTTCAAAGTGTAAAGTAGTCCATCTGCGACATGTAGCAAACTACAGTTACAACTTAGGAAACTCCTCTCTAGTAGTATCCCAAGTCGAAAAAGATTTAGGAGTCCTGGTGCCCCATGACTTAAAGTCTTACGCTAACTGTGACAAAAATGCCTTCCGAGCAAACCTTGCACTGGTAACGTTGAAGCGCATTTTTGGACAGTTTGACGGACGAACTTTCCACACAATCTTCAATAGTTTTATCCGTCCCCATTTAGAGTACGGAAACATAGTACTCCCCCCTCACTCCAGAAGGACAAGGTCACTTTGGAGCGTATCCAACGGCGAGCCACGAAATCAGTTCGAGGACTCAAATCTAAGCCTTACGAAGAACGCCTCCGTTCACTAGACCTTTACCCACTAGAATATAGGCGTCTTAGAGGTGATTTACTAATGGCTTACAGTATTCTTAACACTTCTGGACATCCTCTTAAACACCTACTTAAGCTTAGTTCGAATAATAACCTAAGGGGTAACACCCAGAAACTGGAAACACAACATAGCAAGACGGAATGTAGACACAACTTCTACTCCTTAAGAGTTGTCAAAAGCTGGAATTCGCTGCCGGCCGAGCTAGTCCAAGCGACTTCTCAGGAGTCCTTCAAGAGGCAACTTGACCTATTCTTAAGGACCAAGGACAGCATCACATTATGATTTACCAATTTCTTTTCCTTTTTATTGTTAACATACCTAGGTTCCTGCCTGGAGGATTTGGTGATCCCCTGCTACTAGACACGGAAGCCTGTTAAGCGAAAGCTTCTTCTATTCCGTCCACAACCATTTGAACCATTTGAACCATTTAGTGCTTAGAGCGGGTTATTTGGAGGATGGATTTCTGATGATGTTTTGAGTTGCTTCTAGTTGTTGTTGCTAGGACGTCCGTTGTATGGGGTAAGATTTATACTCTTATAATTTGAATGCCATTTCACTCTTTATTTAAGTTCAGAGACCCTACATGACTTGTCCACTGCCAGTTCTCCTGAAAACAATAAAGTCACGCAGTGGTATTGTTCTAGTTTCGTTGCCATTATTTTCGAGCTGGTGCGTATTTGTGCCTAGTTTCTGGTCGACATCTTTAAGCTACATTTAATGGTTTAAACCTTAACTCCTGACTACAGTGCTCCGCACTTGATAATTTAGTGTGGAAAGAAATCTTTTGAACTTTATCTTATTAGTTCCAGACTAACAACCTTACTAGTCTATACGTATAGATTGTGCTTGTATTCAACTAACTGTAATTACAGTCATTTCCGTCACAAAAGTCGAGTGATTTTTGTACTTGTTGTGATTATACTTGCTTTGGGTACTTATTGCACCAAAAAGGATTCTTGGTTTACTTTAACTAAAAGTACTTTGGTTAAAGTTTGAAATTTTTTTTGCTAAATTTTGTCCTAGGTACCTTTTTTACTCCTAGACTAGCACTTGTGTTCACATTGTGATCATTATGTGTTTTTAAACCTTTTACATCTAATTACAATGGTTGGTAAGACTCACAAATGTGGGCAACCAAATTGTTTGTTCCCCGTTGAGGAGGGAATGCAGCGTGATGACTGCAAAAAGTGGTACCAAAAAATGTGTACATGCCTAAGTCCGATGGCATACAAAAGATGCTCGAAGCCTAACTCGCATTGGCTTTGTATGTTCTGCTGTACGGATAAAAAGGTACTAATTCAGGAGGCTATGGGTCTATTGGCTTTGGCCTACAAGAAAAACGATGACACATGCGCCGACAACACCGGCACTGACAGTGACGGTTGTGTCAGTGTAGTACCTGCTGTTACGCGACGCCTCAAACAACCGACTCTGACCGACACAAAAGTGAGATCGCCGTTAACATTAACAAGGGGAGTAATACCACCTGGTACTGACATTGATAACAATGCACCTTTAGTGGGAACCGACGAACTGGATAAAACCATCACCGTTCCAAATAGTTCCAATGTCCTGAGGGATGAAAAATAGACTACGGTACGTAGGAAACGAAACGAAAGGAAAAAAGCTGTAGGCAGTACACAGGTAGTTAGTAACTCACTGATGGACTCTCATTGTGAGTCACATACTGCACTACCAAAATCTGATGGTAAAAGTGACAGAAGAAAAATCAAATAACAGCTAAAACTAATGACTGTTTACTTGATAAGTCCTTGGTGGACTCTCAGACCAGTCCGCCAAAGCTCCAAAGTAAAGCTTCGTCTAAAACTGTTGTGAGTCACTCACAGGACTCTGTTACAATAAAAGCTAATCGTAAGATACCAGTAGTTAATATACAGGATCTATCGTCACGGTCGAAAGCTGTTAACACAATTTCAAAGGAAGCTAAACCCCTAGTTTAATTATTTGGAATCTAGAGGAGTCGAAAGATAACTACCCTTCTAGAAGACATGCACATGACCTGTAGTTAGTGGAGTCTGTGGTAAGAAATGTGCTACCTGAAGAGGTTTCAGGGGTACATATTACAAAAGTAATACGACTTGGTAAATGGGTTGGAGGCGAGACCCAACCAAGAAGAACCCTGGAGCTGGTTCTCGGGAGTTTCGAAGAAAGACATATTATTGAAAAACACACCAAAAACTCGTGACTCAAATATCTGTATTCGACCAGATTGGCCGCTTGAGGATCGAATCAAGTGGAAGAATGCTCTTACGGAATTGAGGACTCGCAAATTAAATTGCGATAATAACCTTACCATTAATGGTTTTCGGGTAGTCAGTTCTTGGAAGCCAATGCTTCCGACGCCTTTATGGGTAGAACGATTGATTGCAAAATCACCTTATGTGTGTGCTACACGAACGCTCGTAGTCTTAGAAATAAAACGTCCGAGCTAAGTCTGATGGTGGGAGAATTATATCCCGATATATTCGTTGTTACAGAAACTTGGTTCACAGTAGATATAGACTGTTCTCCTTTCATTGCAGGCTATATCTGTATAAGGAGTGATGAAGTTTCAAGTCGCAAAGGGGGAGGCATAATATTATACGTTAGGGATCACTTTCGTATACAATCAACAATATCGGAGGCTCATATCAGTGGCACATGTGAGGTTGCATGTTGTAAGATTAAATCTAGAAGTGGGTTAGTGACTATAGGGGAATATACCGTAGTCCGTTTTGTCTTGCTGACGACTTTATCCTAAGACTTTTTAAAGATGGTGGTGACTTTCTGACTAAGGAATTGACGACGTTATTTACAAAGGTTTGGGAACTAGAAAGTGTACCAACGTCATGGAATGAGTCGATAGTTGTCCCTATCTGTAAAAAGGGTTCACGTCGTTCCTGCAACAACTATCGGGGGATAAGTCTACTTCCGATTGCGTCCAAGCTATTGGTTTCCGTCATACTTCGTAGGTTTTTCAAAACCCGAGAAAGATTGACTCGCGAGGAGCAGGCTGGGTTTCGTTCTGGTCGAGGATGCATTGATCATATCTTCACCCTCCGCCAAATGTTAGAACACCATCATACTTTTCAAATGCCAACAATCGTAGTGTTTCTTGACATCAGGGCTGCCTTCGATTCGTTGGACAGGACTGTTCTCTGGGATTTTCTGTCGAAGAAGGGTGTGCCTGAAAAGTTTATTGACATCTTAAAGGCCCTCTATACAAGCACCTCAGGCAGAGTGAGGGCATACAACCACCTCTCTCCATTGTTCCATTCGAGTAGTGGGGTTAGGCAGGGTTGCCCAATCTCACCATTCCTCTTCAACTTTGCCATCGACGACATTCTGGAAACAGCTCTGATGAATGTAAGTAATGGTGGTGTGGATCTGTTGCCTGGAGAAAGACTCGACCTTGAGTATGTGGACGATATTGTCTTACTGTGCGATAATGCCCAAGGCATGCAATCCGCACTTAATCAGTTGGCAATCAGTGTCCGTAGGTATGGTATGTGCTTTGCACCTTCGAAGTGCAAAGTGCTTCTACAAGACTGGCAGGATTCCAATCCTGTACTCACCCTGGATGGTGAGCAGATAGAAGTAGTCGAGAAGTTCGTGTATCTAGGTAGCTGCATAAGTGCTGGTGGGGGTGTGAGTGATGAGATCAATGCACGTATAGTGAAAGCCAGAGCGGCTTATGCCAATCTGGGCCATCTTTGGCGCCTTCGTGATGTCAGTCTGGCTGTAAAAGGTCGGATTTACAACGCATCAGTGAGAGCAGTTTTGCTCTATGCTTGTGAAACCTGGTCTCTCCGAGTTGAGGACGTTAGACGACTCTCTGTGTTCGATCATCGTTGTTTTCGAAGGATCGCTGATATCCAGTGGCAACACCATGTTAGTAATGCAGAGGTTCGGCATCGTGTGTTCGGGCACAGAGACGATAATGCAATTGGTGTCACCATCTTGAAACACCGACTTCAGTGGCTTGGACATGTTCTACGAATGTCGTCGCAGAGAATTCCACGTCGTGCATTATTTGCCGACTCTGGGACTGGTTGGAAAAAGCGGAGAGGTGGTCGGTATATGACATGGTGTCGTGAGATGAAAGAAAGCTGCAAAGAACTGGCTTCTGTTGGCCCTTCACGACTCCCTGGCTGGGGTCCGAGACATAGTGCTACACAGTGGCTAGAGACGTTATCAGATATGGCCCAGAATAGAAGCCAGTGGCGATCCTGCTGTAACCTTTTCTACTTTCTTCATAAAAAGTGGTTGTGTCTTCCTTAACTGAAAGATTTCTTCTGACTGTACCTTTCCGTTCCCTCGTTACTACCACACTATCTTACACCAATCTCTTCGTTATTGTTCTCTTTTTTTGTGCTCCTTACCTTTTTTCTTTTTTCTCTTCGAATTCTCATTGTTTTGTGTGGCGCATATATATTGGCGCTCTCTTGTTCCAATATTTATGTGTTCAATAAATAAATAAATCTTGGAGTATGGCAGAATGTTGTCTCATCATTGGGGACTTCAACGCACCGCATATCAACTGGATAGAGCTTACAGCTCCAGGTAGTGGTTTCGATAGAGACCTTTTATCTACCGTTATTCAGTGTGCACTTGTACAATGTATCACAAAACCGACACATTAATTTCAATCATGATCCGTCACTGCTGGACCTCGCCCTCACTCACCACCGTGAGGATGTCTTTGATATTCAGCACCTTCCCCCACTAGTGAACAGTGATCACATTGTAATTCACTTTAAGTTTAGAACACATGGTATACGTTTTGTATCTGCTCCACCCCGTCCCAATATCTGGCGAGCCAATATTCCGGCGATCAGAAACTGTGCTATCTCGACTGATTGGTCGGTCGACGAGGATGGATTGATCGAAGATGAATGGAATAAGTTTAAGGCTACATTCGAGTCCGTAACGTCGCCGTTTATCCCATGGTTAACACGTAAGTTATCACACTGCCCTCCATGGATTAATAAGGAAACCCGGAAGCTGTTAAAGCGTAGGAAACATTTCTGGGACTTATTCTTGTTGACAGGTCATGCACCATTTAAGCGTGAGTACCAAAAATACCGTAATATCTGTAAGAAAACCATAGCCAAATCCCGTACCACTTACGAACGACAGTTAGTATATGATAGCCGTACTTGTCCGAAACGATTTTTTTCGTATGTTAAACGGCGGACGAAACGTAGTGATGGTATTCCCCCGTTACTGTTACACGAAAATTCAGAATTACTAGGTGAATCAGATCGAGCAAAAGCTGAGACTTCTTCAAACTATTTTAGCGAAGTCTTCTCTACGTTTATTGTAACAAATACTTGTCCCACTCACACCGAGATACCAACCATGGAATCTGTACAGGTGACTAAGGAAACTGTCCTTCCGTTGATAACTAACCTCAAACTTGGTAAGACGCCGGGCCCTGACGGGTTACATCCACGGTTGCTGTTATCTCTTGCGGACATTATTTCAAAACCGCTTGCGACACTCATCAACATGTCCCTTTCACTCGCTCAACTCCCTAGAGATTGGAAGGACGCTATATTCAGTCCTATATTTAAGGACGGTCAGAGACAGATAGTATCTAACTACCGGCCTGTTAGTCTAACTAGCATAGTCGTTAAGTTACTTGAAAAGTTAATTCGGGTTAGGTTGCTAAGTCACATAGATTTACACAATCTGTTAGCTCCTGAGCAACACGGATTTCGTAACAAGCGTTCATGCTTGACTAACGTGCTTATTGCGAGGGAGGATTGGACAGCAGCCCTAGATAACGGTCTGTCGGTCGATGTGATATTCATAGATTTTAGCAAAGCATTTGACAAGGTTTCACACGTAGGTTTTATTCAGAAGCTCACGAGCTTCGGAATAATAGGCACTGTACATGAGTGGATAGGAGATTTCTTATGTGACCGCAGACAGAGATTGAGGGTCAGCGGAACGCTTTCCAATTAGAAGCCGGTCAAAAGTGGTGTACCCCAAGACACCATCTTAGGCCCTCTGCTCTTCCTTCTCTACGTTAATGGGTTACCGCTGTTACTTAGGTCGTCGACATTATTGTTTGCGGATGATGTAAAAATCTGGAGAACAATAAAAAGTGCGGCTGGTCATCTGGATCTTCAAGCTGACTTAGACGATTTAGTTAGATGGACTCGAGAGTGGGGCTTAGAAATCAATGCTAGGAAGAGTTTGATAATACACATCGGTCACGGTAATAGTTACCGTTACACTATTGAGGGTAAACCTCTTCCATGCGTTCAAGAGCATAAAGACTTAGGAGTAGTATTAAGTCATGATCTAAAAAAAACTACGCACTGCAAAGCAGCCGCTGTCAAATGTTTTCGTGCGTTATGGTCACTTCGCCGAGCGTTCAAATCTTTTGACGAGGAAACGTTTCGAATTTTATATCCCACCTATGTAAGACCACAATTAGAGTACTGTACCCAAGCAGCTAGCCCGTGTCTGGTAAAGAATACTAACTCCCTTGAGCGTGTCCAGCGTGTGGGAACGAAATTAGTGAAGGGTCTTTCTAGACTCCCTTACGATGAGCGTTTAAGACGCCTAAATCTTTTCCCCTTGTCGTATCGTAGGACACGAGGTGACCTTATACTGGTATTTCGTATCTTTAATTATGATTTGGGTGTTAATATGTCTTATCTTTTTGCTCCCTCCAGCACTAATAGTCTCCGAGGTCATAGGAAGAAGGTTCATAAACCAAGATCTAATAAACTTAAAGTGAAGTCCCGTTTCTCTCATCGAGTAGTCAATCATTGGAATGCCTTACCCGAACAAGTGGTATCAGCCCCATCAGTGAATACTTTCAAGGAGAAGCTGGACCTTCACTGGAAAGCAGTGTGTTAGGATTAATACAGGTTCATCAACCTACTATCCTTATTACGGAAGACTGAAGGAATATTTTCGTGATTGCCAGTCAATCTATTCATTATGGACATGAACACACTATTTTTTTCAGCATAGGAAAATATTTAGCTTTTCCTCAGTCTAGTAGTAGTTGGTATTTTTGTCTATCTTCTGTATTGGCTAGTTCATCAACACTTGCTTTACCAAGGTATTTAGCATACAAACTATGGCCAGGTTCACTAAAGGTATTGGAACTGTGTCGATCACTGCTTTAGAAAGCTTTTCAATCTTGAAAGTCATGTGTAATAACCTTACCACTATCTATCATTTAGAATGTTCAGGAAGTTTATTTTTAAACTTGCCTAAGTATTTATTGCCACTAGGTACTGTTACCGTGAGAAAGATAACCATATTTGTGGAATTCAACTTAATTTGTGGTTGACATTCATCCATTTCTCCTTCCGCATTTTTCTCTTTCTAAGACCTCTTCATCTAAACGAGTTTAATTGTGGTAACTATACCCTATCCACGAGCTCACAAAAAATCTTGTATCAGTCATTCATTTATTAGCAACGTAGAACCTGCCGCAGATATGCATCGGTTCAAGTTTTTGTGCTGTTTTAGCACAGCGAAATGAACTTGTTGAGGTAAATGCCAGAGTATAACAGCCTATGATAAGCGAGTATTTGTTGGATGATTAACGTCTTTAGTTTATGTTGGGGACGATGTAATTAAGCAGAATTTTCGGATAGCTTTCAAATCATAACAATACATCTATCGTTTTAATTATTCTGTTTTTAAATGTATAGGGTGCTACTGTGGGTGATATAATCAAACGTAGTGATCCTTTATTTCCGATGATTTGTTTAAAAATTTTGAATATATGTCCAAAATACCCTTGTTTGATTACGTCAAATCTTCCAATTGTATTCAAGCGTGAGATCTTCAGTTTTGGTCCTACATTTACCAAAAAATCACAATCTTACAAAGAAAGAAGACTGTTAGGGTTAGTTCCACAGCTTTTTTTTAAAAAAGTCGGTTATATTGGTAGAAACAATCGGTGTTTCTGAAATTAATTAATTACATTCTATAAAGTCATTTCACAGTATATATTGCAGTCATAGTAAATACTTATAACCATACGTTTTGTTTTGTCCAATAACGTAATGTGTGCGGCACAATGATTGAGGTTGTTTTTGGGCCTGATTATGATCGCTATTACCTAAAATAAACTCGTCAGCTCAAGTGGATTGACTAGGAAATCGATCTCCAAAAAGCCAGGTATCCCGCGCATCAACAGATGAAATTACCTAGAAGTATTAAAGACATACATATGTTGATATTATTTGTTTTTGAAGCATTTTTCACTGACAGTAGAATCCCGTAGTAGGTATTACTAACGCATAGACTCACATTTCTAACTGGACTGTAGAGTGAAACTTTTACGTCGTAGCTATATTACTTATCAGTGACTAGGTTATGTTCCCTTATCTTTTATCAAGTAATTGCATTTTACTTGTTTGTTCGGGCATGTTAAGAGTCAAGTAGGATAATCTTATAGTTTATTCTTTTTGTGGACTCCTGTAGTTTTCTAGTGCAAAATGAAAAGTAAAGTTTGGTTACCACAGGATTTTTTTACATGCAATAGAATTTTGTCAGTTAACCTGCAAGATCTGTTTATTTATTTACTTAAACATATAAACATTGGTACGAGGAGGTATCAAATATATATGCGCCACACTAATACTTTGATTTGTGTGAGGGCTTGGATACGGTCAGGGTGCCCAAACTGAGGCAACTGGTTTTCTTAGGAGGCCACTACCCGAGTCTTTGAGGTTTAATCCACGAGACAGTAGAGCAACGTAAGGAGATACAGTCCCATGATAACCGATGACCGACGATAGGTTCATACGCCATTTCTTCCCTCGGGATCCTGGGGCCCATGTGAACCATTGGTTTGAAATCAGGGTTTTCCAACTCCTCTAGATGGGTCCTCCCTATCTATCATCCAGGGTAAAGCTCCAGAGATTCGCTTTCATACGACGGATTAAAGTGCGAATTCGTGGGTGGAGAACAGCTGACAGACGCATTCCAGATTAGGAACGGAATTAAACATGACTGCTTACTCTCCCCTTCTCTCTTTCTTCTGGTGTTCGACTGGATTATGCAATATCTGACTGTTATTTGATGAACATGACACTCAGAAAGAAATGGTTTCTCGTTAATTATTTTTATATAACAATTTATAGGCAAAATTATCACACTGATTGTACCATTTATTTCTCAAATAAATCACTCTGTTTGTTTTCGTTGTATTGTACAAACTAGATTATTCTCATTTTTGCATCATTTATATCTAAAACTTCATTATCACCATATGTTTTGTCTCGGTAAAAAATTATTTCCAGTTATTCTCCGGAAAACATGTTTGATATTGCAATTGACGTTGGTCGTTATTCAGAATTTATACCTTGGTGTAACCAATCAACTGTTTTGGAACAAGGTGAAAATAACATGCTAGCTTGTCTGGGTGTTGGATTTCCTCCACTTAGTGAATCATACATGTCTCGAATAACATTTCAGCGACCGAAACACTTAAAGGTGAGTGAATATTTATGTGTTTGTTCATTGTTGTCTATGAATGAATATGAGAAAATATAAAGTGTAGGGTGTTCATTCCAAATGAAGATTGTTCAACTGAGGGCAGAGTTTAGATGGTTTAACTTGTTTATTCTAGTTGCCGTTTTTCAGCACGGTTGTTTTCTACGGGTGGGGTTGCTGACTCTATGCCCAACCCTCCTTCTTTACTCGGGCTTGGGACCGGCAGTAACCCGAGAAGCGCTACAGGCGATGGTTGACTGGATTATGACGACCCCGTCATCTGAGGAGAAACACGGAATACAATCGATAGAGCTTGGATGCAACTATACGATTTGGATCTACCCAATGGTTGGAGACCCTTGGTGATATGGCTCAGAATCGATCACAATGGCGTCGGTGTATACACTCTGTCTTCTCTTAAACTAAGAGATTAAGATCACTTCACATCTTTCTTTCTACGAACTAATTCTTTCTTCCTATACTATGTCCTTATTGCAATCTTTCTCCTATATATTACCACCTTTGACCTAACCACTCCTATGAATCCGGTGTTCATCTTGCTGTGCTAATGAGGTATGGCAACCTAGGCCGATGCATACATGTGCCTGGTCCTACGTTGTAGCTGACTGACTGACTGACTGACTCTACCCCTTCTATCCCATACACATCAACAAATGCAGGTTAAGACAAGCAGTGCTGCAGCAGCCTCTGCCTCAGTAGGCATCAACATACACAACGGAAAAAGCAGGGTCCTCAAATACAATACGGAGAACCCCAACCCAATCACACTTGATGGAGAAGTTCTGGAAGAGGTGGAAACTTTCACGCATCTGGGGAGCATCATTCATGAATAAGGAAAATTCGATGCAGACGGAAAGGCGAGGATTGGCAAAGCAAGAGTCGCATTCCTACAATTGAAGAACACATGGAACTCAAAACAACTGTCTGTCAACAAATATCAAAATCACAATCTTCAATACGAACGTCAAGATAGTTATTCTGTGCGGAGCTGAAGCTTGGAGAACTACCACGACTATCATCAAAAAGGTACAGGTATTTATGAACAATCATCTACATAATATACTCAATGTCCGTTGACCAGATACCATGAGCAACAGCCTACTATGGGAGAGAACATGCCAGCTTCCATCTGAAGAGGAAATTAGGAAAAGGCACTGGAAGTGGGTAGGATACACATTAAGGAAATCATCAAAGTGCATCACGAAGCAAGTTTTAATTCGGAATCCTGAAGGGAACGGAAATTAGAAGACTAAAAGACATACTGCTTCGAGAATTGGAAGCAGATATGAAAAGGAAGGATAGCAACCGGAAAGGGTTGATCAGGACAGAGTTGGATGGAGAATGCTGGTGGATGGCCTATGCTTCTTCACGAGGGGTAACAGGCATAAGTTAGTAAGTAAGGGTGTCTGTTACTTTTTGTTTGCTTGATTTTAAAATAACTTGTGGTAATATCATGGAAAATATAAATAAAGGGTGTTAAAGAATACAGTCTAAATAAGAACATTACGAAATGGTATTTATTTTTGGTCCAAAAAACATCTGTTTAGGAAGAATATGATTTAAAACTGCAACAAGATTCCCATGAGATTCTATTCTGAGCTGTCTGATATTGTATCAAGCCCTTCGGTTGTACAGTCACTAGCACTTCATTAGAGTAGTCGTCACTATTAGACATATACTAATGTAACTTAACCATTCTTCATTCCAGCAAGCCATGTCATGCATTATTTACCTCCAGGTTTCTCATCCATTACGTGAGTTGATAAATAATACTTAGGATAGAAGTCATTAGGAAAATATGAATGGGATGTATGCAAACCGTCAAGATTTCTAGAAAGTCCTTAATCTAATACATCTTCAGTGCTTACTTTAGAGTTGCGACAAGTTTTGGGAATTTGGTCAATCTGCCACAGTATGAGACGTTACTATTAAGCTATACGAACCACGACCTAACCACCTAACATCTAAACATAATGTATGCAATATCGAGTCACTTAGGCTAGTGGCAACATTGGGACTTGATCGATGGAATCTTAGCAACACTATGAAGGACTATATAGTCTTGATCTTAGTCATTACCCAGCGTCTAGTCAGTTGTGTGAATTCATTTCATCCTGTTCACTTAATGGTTCTGTAATGTATGCTACTTATGTTGCAGATATAAATAGTATGTAATAGCGATCGGAAGTGTGATGCCCGCTAGCAGAAGGTTGAATCGAAGAGAACAGCAAGGTAAACAGAACAATTGTAATAACAGAATTGCAAAGGACAACTGAAGAAAAGTGTAGAAATAATGTTTTTAATGTATGGTTTTTGTATCTTACTACAGCACTCTAGTTTTACACTAAACAATATATTAGTTTTCCCCAACTGAATTCTCGTTCACTACAGTTCTTTATTACTTTTAAAAATAATTTGAAATGTTTTTATTACGATGAACGCATAGCGTAAATCAACTACTTTTCTCTTATTTATTTTTAAGTCTGTCGCACAAAATGCTGGAATGTTTCATCATTTAATTAATGAATGGCATTTTCATCCAGGTCTCCCAGAGAATCCGAATTCTTGTTTTGTAGAGTTTTCCGTAAGTTGACCGGATTTGAAGTAATTATTAGTTTATTGATCAAGGTTTCTTTTAATTTTCAGCAGTAAATGGTTTAATGATTGAATAATGAATGCATCCTTATATTACGATATTAGTATTTTTTTTCACCAACCTTTTTTATCTGGCTAGTACAATTTGATTTTGGCGGAGTTTCGTTCTCTGAGCTGGAAGGTTTAATCATGGCACTTTTATTGTTTTTTTGAACATCATCAGCACAAACTTCAGTTAGAAGTGAAGTATTCGAATTTTTCTACATATTACTGACAATTTGTAATGTTAGTTATTGTTGACCTTTAACCTGTTGTTTGCATATCCATTTTGATTGCCTGCCTCTTCGACCTGGTTGTAGATCCTATTTTTGTCCGTAATTTTTCTAATTGGTTGGCAAATTAGATCGATTTCGATGCGTTGAATGCTGGTTAAAATTGTCTATATGTACTCATATAAGCAGCAATAAGTGATGACATTTGCCAGCTAGTTAGTGTTCATACGGTCAAAGATTAGCAGAGTCTACTTTGTCTGATCTAGCGTTTCTCAGAGTTGGAACAGTTTATTTTATAGATGATATTTCACTTTTTCTTTCCTTTTTGTCATTTTATCGTTTGGTTTTCATAAGGTTAATTGATATGATTTTGTTGGTTTATGTGCTACAATAGGCTTGGTTTCCACCGACAACCCAGCAAATTGACCATCCTACTAGATATGAAGGACATATAACCAATTACAACAAGATTTCTGAGGCCATTTAGAATAATCGTAGCATATAGGCCAACAAAATCATATCAATTAACCTTATGGAAACCAAACGATAAAATGACAAAAAGGAAAGAAAAAGTGAAATATCATCTATAAAATAAACTGTTCCAACTCTGAGAAACGCTAGATCAGACAAAGTAGACTCTGCTAATCTTTGACCGTATGAACACTAACTAGCTATCAAACGCCATCATGTATCTTCAATTTTATCACGTAAGTAGTATCATTAACCCCCGCACTTAGTTTGGGTCATACCCAGGAATGTGGTGAATCAGTTAATTAAAATCACAACTTTCGGCCTAATGAAGATTTTCCAGTAACTGGTTGACATTGAAGATATCAAAATTACAGTTAATGCCAATGCATCGTAATTGGTAAATTTACGAATCTCTCTTGTTTTCCTCTTTGGTTCATTGTTGAACGCTTCGTTTGAATGACAACTCTATGTTACTTAGAGAGTAGAGACAACCTTATGAATAACCTCTCGTTCATACGTTATGTTGGGTTACGTATACAAGTTGCTCTTGCATATTTAAACTAACCACATAGAACTTATTAAACCATATAACCCGAATTTTACAATATCTGTAAAATTCTTGATTGTTTTACACAGGAAAGTTCTATTCCTCTCGTTACTATCAACCGAAATCAGTATGATTGTGATGTGTTTTCAATAGTCACCGCAATCATTGTTGTCCGAACCTTCCATGCCTTGACCTATTATGACATTCATAATGTACCAACCATGTAGTTTACATTTGTTCTTATTAGTTGTCCTATACGGTACCATATATACTGTGATTTTTATTTCTATGATTGTTTTTTCCTGAGACATAAGAGCTGTCTTAAAAGTCTCCTATCTTATTAGCTTGTAGTTTGACAATGTCGAAATGTTATGTATGGGTTTTCCGACCTATCTAGTCCTACATAGATCCCACTTCGTATTCTAGGACTCTGTTGGTCTATCCATATATATGTCTAATCAACAGTTGGATTAATCACAGTCTATACTCAGTTACCTAATGGGTTAGCCGTTAAAACGTTCAACTTCCGATTATTCATTTGCAGGTTAAAACCCCGCCCAGTTTTAAATGATAAATAGTAGTACTAATCCATATACAAATCAAATGTGACTGAATTTCAAACAAACAAAATATATCCCTTTTTAGAAAGTACAAATTTATATGTGTAGCTCTGAATTACAATGTTGTTGTGAGCTGTCGTAATACTACTATCCAACTTAATCTATAGTAAGTTAAAGCTTGGAACATATTAATGGGAGTCTGAATAGTTTAAGTATTCAACCACTTCTCCTATACTTCGTTAGTGGATTGTAATAATTAATTACTGTAACCATAGTAGTACAAGGACAGAATTCAGGGGATAAAATTAATAACGGACTTATGATCTATTGGGTGTTATTTATTCTAAACCTCCTCTCTTCTATTTGAAAGTTATTGTAATTCAACTTATATGAATATTTGTCAATATTAGAACGAATAGTTTGAGAAAAATTGGGCGCCCAGTATAGAAAAGTCATTATATGTGAAAATTATGTCTGAAATAATCTCAGTCAGTCAGTAACAACGTAGAACTTCGTACGTACGTACATCAGTTCGAGTTGCCATACCACATTAGCACAGAGTTGCAGTTGTCGATTCAAGTCCCGTATCGGTAGAGGTAGTAAGAGTATAAACAGTAATCGGAAAGATTAGGGTTTGGAGATGTTATTTAAGGAGTATAATACAGTGAAATAAATTTGGAAAGAGAAAAATGAGAAGGGACATAAAGAATTCATAAATAATCTCAGAGGTTGAAATTTAAAATAATTCCAATGTTTCATCCAACAAATTTGTCTGGACTTCTTCAAAATCATCAAGTAAATATACAGTGTTTAACAATCTATATCAAATCTTTACTGTGTTAATCCGATCATATTTAGATGTTGACTTTAGTAAATTGAATAACATGAGTCAATTATATACGAATCATGTGAAAAGTTCACCGTCTATATTTGTTATAACTTGTGAATCTGTGTGCCCTGTTTATTGTATAACGCAATGATACCGCCTATTAGAAAGCAGCGAATTATCGATCGGACCAAGGACTTGTAAAACACGTGTGAGCAGCCTAGAGTCCTGGTTGGTCCTGCTCTCCTGTCTAGCCCAGCCTGTTTAGTCCAGAACGCAAATCTCAGCCTCTGAGATATGAATCATTATATTTCAAGCATACTGAGTTTATATACCAAACAAACTGACCACAACTTACCAATAAAATATGAAACAACATTTGTACAAGAATTAGCCAGATGTGGCTGTGAATGAGGAGGTAGTAATTAACAGACAGAATAATTCATGAATGGTAAATCGTATAATAATAGTTCATAGGTCAAAATAAAGCTCATAATAAGAGGGGCATGAATATGAACAGTTTAGTTACTCAACAATTATACGATAAAAATATACGCATAATATTGGTCCATAGATAGATCCCAAAAATTACCATTCATTATTCTTATCGGGATACAACAATATTCTATGCTTGATCATGATCATTATTACATTCATTATCTTTTTGAATACATAAATATTTTGTTTCATGCTGAATGAATAATAAATAAATAATACCAGTTTTATTCTTGTAAAAATATCTTTTTTCCCCCAGGTTGATTTCGAGTTTCGTTCTCCTATTTATTCAAAAATTGCTGGATTATTTTTTGATCAAGTTGTCACTGTTATGGTAAATGCTTTTATGGATCGTGCTAAAGTATTACATGGTAAACCATCAATTGCTTGTCAAAAGCCAAACATATTAATTTATAATAAATAAATCAATAACTAACAATTCTTTCTTATGTAGTTGGGAACATTTGTCCAATGTATAAACGAACAGATTATTGTTATCATTATTATTATTATTATTATTTGTAAGACATCGAATAAATCTTCGTACTGTAGTTTCTATTTGAATAGTTTTCACTTTGAGCTACCAAGAAGATTGATTTCATTGTTGTTGTTGTGTTTTTTTTCTGTGTTGTTTGTTGATACATTCATGAATGATACAAAGAGGTACATTTTTCGGTCAAATCCAGTGGAATTTTTCTTGATATACTGATGTACTTCTCTTTTATATTTCAAGTATTTTACTAAAAACAAAATACTCCATGAATAAAGTTTTCACAATGAAATAATGAAAGAGACATACACATATCTCTTAACATAGAAATGTATACAGATATATTAGAGTTTATCATTGTTTCTTGTTTCTGGGAAAAGAAATTTCATTCTCTTTTATCAGTCTTTTTAACTTTTGTAATTTAATACAAAACAAGATTCAAAATTGATTTGTTACACTTCATTATTTTTTGTTTTATTATTGGTTGCATTAAATTCTGAGCTGCTAATAATCGATGGTTAGCGTTTTTTTATAGCGAGTTGATTTTCTACAGGATAGGGTCGCTAATTCTATTCTCAACCCTCCTCCTTTACCCGGGCTTAGGACCGGTGGTAATCGATGGTACTTTGTCGAATCGTCTTTTTCTTTATTTCTCTCTAATTCAATTTTTGTAATTGTTAAATAAATATACGGAAAAGTGTAGAATACTCTTTGTTTTTATCTTCTTTCTTCGTGTTTGTTGAAATAATAATAATAATTGTTATTAGTTATTAGTATAATTATTGTTCTAATTATTTATCTTGCCATTTTTATAGAAAAAAGTTATTGCTTACAGTTAGACTTAAACTGTGTTTTATTTAGTCATGAAAGCGTGTTTGTAAAAAAATCACCCAGTCGTTTAATCTGAACTGTTTTAAGTGAATACTTGAAGGTATCATATATGTTAGAGCAATTTTGCCATTTGGTCGAAGTTAGACTTGTACACCACTGAATGCCTCCACATTGGTCTAAAGGTTAGGGATTCACCGGAAAATCTGAAAGTTCTTGGTTCAATGCCTGATGTGGTCATTGATGCGTACTGTTTAGGAGTCGCATGCTAGAACGAAACAGTTGTCCAGCGCTTCATGGTTTTTTTAACTGTGATTAATCAATTTTGTAAACTGAAAATAAGGTCACAAAAACAAACCTATGCCGAATAATTATCTAATCACATTTGTGTTGAATTTGATTTGATTGGGTGACATCTTAGTTAAGTCATACTTGTTATATGTTTTCTAAAGATTTTGTATTTTGTCGATGTTGTGCTGCTAAGATGATGGATAAACTTTGTCATTATCTCAAAGGTGAATCTCTTAGATTGTTCTGTAGTGTATATACTGGATGAATATTAATTGCGGACCTGTTGGGGTTATAAACGCTATCATCGGCAAGCCTTTGAGGAGACAACCAGTTATCTAAAAACATGTTCATCAGTGTGGAGTAATTTTCCGTCTGTGATATGATTCTTGAATGTTTACTTTCGAACTTTACTCCCCCGATTGCTTTTTAGGTCACTCTTGAAATAGATTTCTGGGAAGTTTTGTGACTATTGGATTTGTACACCGATGTAATTAGGTGCAGCAGATCTTCCTATTTAGAATCTGACAGTGAAACAATTACTTGTTGTCTAACTTTTAAGCTCTCGTGTCGATCTTATTTCGATAACTAGCTGCACAGCAGTCCATTCTGTATGACTGTGTTTGTAAACATAGTCTATACAAGTAGAGGATGTGCGTAGGCCGCAGCCCTTTGAACAGAGATGTCTTCGAAGTAATGCTTGGATGTTATGAAACGACCGAGTGTTTTGTACTGAGGTCGCACGCGTGATACTACGGGAAGATGACGTCTTGGTTGATAAAGACTAAATATTCATCAACTGAAGTGGTTGGGACATGTGCTATGTGAGCCCAATCACCACTTACCTTGACGCACTATGTTGATTGATGATGAAAGAAAACTAGAGGCGGCCAAACTGAGACTTGGCATCAGTCCATGAAGGCATTGACTGTTCCGACCCATGTTTGCAAATATAGATTATCTGGCAGGGTTCCATGGGATCCTTGTTACCAACATTTGAATATTGATGAAATGGCTCAGTATCAGTTGCAATGGTACTTATACATCTACTCTTCATCTCCTAGATCTTGGGTTTCATAGTTTTTTCGTACTTTCTGTCTCGCGAATTCGTTATTTTTTCTAGAACCATATTCTCTATCCCTAAAGTTTTTTTACTATCACTGATATTGCTTCAATCGCTTTGTTATTTGTCTTCATAATTTCATCTCACTATACTAATTTGGTATTGGAACTCTGACCAATGCATTTGTGTTCCAAGTTCTACGTTGTTTACGACTGGCTGACTTAAATTAAGTGAATAACGCTTGGTTTCGAACAAAACAGGATGTTATGCACAGCCAGAAAATATGTAGATTTTGGAAGAATTGATTGATATTAAGTCATATTTGGAATATTTAAATGGTAGTAAATTTATAAATGAAGTTTCCTTTATTCAAATTTCACCAGTGTGGTGTGAGATAGTTTCTAACTACATCGACAGAATAAAGCAAATCCGTACCTAGTTGTATATTTTCTCCATTTACTCAAACCTTAATTTGAAACAGGTAAGATAAGGCAACACAGATGGACAGGTTAGTAATACCTATCGCTACTGGTAATAGTTTGTAAGTGTGACATATAAGGTAAGAATATATCTATCACTTAGATACCAATTAAGTGGTTGTTGCTTCCTTTTTTAAAACTCCGAAAAACATCACATGCATTTACAAAAATAGCTGAATATCACAAGGATCATGATTATGTATTTTATGATTGCATATCGGAATTATCAGGTGATTGTGTAGTATTTAGAAAATCCAGCGTTAATCTCTTAATATTTTTAGGAATAGTATGATTAGTATCGTCCATTTACACATCAGGCGGTACTCGTTATTTCTTATAAATAATATATGTGAATGACTCCATTCAGATTCTTAAGTATCTTCCCAGATGTAACGGAGGGTAGTTTTCAGCGATTTTCGCTTATTGCTAGTTCAGTAGTATAATGGATAGAGACATTGTTAGCGTGGATAGTAGGACGATGGTGAATTGTAAAACCGTTGGCTGTTTGTCATTGCTATGGTAAATATAAACTGCTAAGTTAGCTGACGACAATTGGAATTTCACGATCATTACTAAGGATTAAACAAATATGATACTAATTGGTCTACTTATCGAACGCTTAATACTGGCTTCCTAGTCGTTTTCCAGATCCCCATAATCCTGTATTTGGGCTCCGAACGGTGGAAAAAAAGGCCTGCAGTAAGAATTAAAGCTTCATTTTAACGTTGGTTGGTATACAGAAAAGAGCAGTATTTCTAGGTTTGCTGGTAATTTCCGACTTCTCTAAACTTTTTGAAGCATGCTAAATCGAGTAACAGAATAAGTAATGTATACAAATCTTCGTCAATATTAGAACGAATAGTTTGACAAAAATTGGGTGCCGAGTATAGAAAAGAAATTATATGTAATCAAAATTTAAATAATTCCAACGTTTCGTCCAGACAAGTTTGTCAGACGAAACGTTGGAATACATATAATTTTCATATATAATAAGTAATCGTTTAATCATAGTGTAATACACACTCCTTCAGTTTTGTAGATGTTTATCAGAGTGTTCCCAATGGATATAGATTGGGCTAAATGTTAACAGCACTTAGTTAGCGTCTAAAGGTCTTATCGAGGAATATCTAAGTGACCTGAGTAACTATGATGAAGTCTCTGACTGTGTTACTACATAACATTACTTCGAGTTCCATGACAATTGTCAGTCCTGATAAGCTTTCCAACATGCTTCCTATGTATCACGAAACCTAAGTCAATTGAGTATTTTTGTTGATCTCTTCCAAATGCCTTAGGTCCAGAAGATCATATTTGATCACTGCCGAATTCCGACAACCATCACTAAACAACTTTGTAGTGTTACTTTTATTGGTTTTCATGTTCAGTCAGTCAGTCAGTTACAGCGTAGGACTAGGCACATATATGCATCGGTCCAAGTTCCCATACCTCATTCGCACAGCAAGATGAACACCGGATTCATAGTAGTTAATTCAGTGGTGGTAATATATAAAAGAAAGATTGCATATAAGGACATAGTACTGAAAGAAAAATTAGTGGGTAGAAAGAAAGATATGAAGCGATTTTAATTTCATAGTTTAAGGGAAGACAGAGAGTTTATGCACCTACGCCATTGTGATCGATTATGAGCCATGTCACCAAGAGTCTCCAACCATTGGTTACGATAGTCACGCGGACCCCAACCAAGTAGTCTGCATCTACCAACATGGCTCAGACTACAAGTTAGTGACTTCAAGCACTGATGCCACGTTTTAGTTTGGTCGCCCCTAACTTTCTTCCAACCACGAGTCGCTAATGACATTATATAAGGATCAGGCTTTATTGACTGAAGTTAAAATTGTCGGCCACTGGATTCCTACCCAACGGCATAAACATACCCTGTTTTTTTATAAGTCCCGAAAACACTGTATTCAATCTTGCGTAAGGTCATAAGTATATACTGTTGGGAAGTGATAAAATAACACAAAAACAAATGTCCAATGTTCACGATTTCTCAATCATTCTACAACTAGCATTGATTCATAATGAAAACTGTCTTTTAATTAACTACTATGATGAATTATCTTAGTTAAGTGTTTCATAACTATCTGCTAGTCTTATATTACTGCTTATTTCTTACTTATCTAGATGTCAATGAATTCAAATCTATGCGTAGTAACACAAAAAATTGGACGTTTTTTACTTATCGGTTTAAATAGACCAGAGAAAGGTAATTTAATAAATCAAACAACTGCTTCAATGTTAAATGATATATTATACAACCAATTTGATAAAGATGATAATATTATTGGAGGTGTATTATATGGTGAAGGAAAAGATTTTTGTTTGGGTTTGGATATGGAAGAATTAACGGATTATATAAAACAAAATCCAACTTGTGATAATACATCATTGAATAGACTTTATTCATGTTTATCTATAGTATGTTATATTTATTGTATTCATTTTTGTGTATACTTATTTTTTATTCTTATTTGAAGAGTTAGCGTTTTTTTAGCGAGTTAGTTTTCTACTAGATGGGGTCGCTAACCCCATGCCAAACCCTCCTCCGCTACCCGGGCTTGGGACCGGCAGTAACTATAGAAGAGCTACAGGCAGAGTTAAGAGCGTTGCAACTGATTGCTGCAATGTGGAAGTGCCGAGCAACGATCACGGGCCCTCTGGTGGTCGACTGGATTATGAAGACCTCAACATCTGAGGGAAAACACAGGGTATAACGGACAGCTCAGAAACAATTAGACGATTTGGACTTCTCAGATTACCTAGCCCTCCTATCTCCCACACACGAACAAATGCAGATAAAGACAGCCAGTGTAGCAGCAGTCTCTGCATCAGTAGGCCTCAGCATACACAAGGGGAAAACCAAGGTTCTCAAATACAACACGGAGAACAGCAATCCAATCACTCTTGATGGCGAAACTCTGGAAGGTGTAGAGTCCTTCACATACCTGGGAAGCATCATCGATGAACAAGGAGGGTCAGATGCGGACGTAAAGGCGAGGATTGGAAAAACAAGGGTCGCATTCCTACAACTGAAGAACATATGGGACTCCAAACAAATTTCAACCAATATCAAAGTGAGAATCTTCAATACGAACGTCAAGGCAGTTCTACTGTATGGAGCTGAAACTTGGAGAACTACAACAACCACCATCAAGAAGCTACAAGTATTTATAAATGGTTGTTTACGCAAGATACTCAATATCCACTGGCCGGATACCATCAGAAACAGCTTTCTGTGGGAGATAACAAACCAGCTTCCAGTTGAAGAGGAAATCAGGAAAATACGATGGAGTTGGTGGATAGGACATACATTACGCAAATCATTAAACTGCATCACAAGGCAAGCTCTGCCTTGGAATCCTGAAGGGAAGTGGAAAAGAGGAAGGCCAAAGAACACATTACGTCGGATAATAGAAGCAGATATGAAAAGGATTAATAACAACTGGAAAGGATTACCAAGGACAGGTTTAAATGGAGAATGCTGGTGAGCGACCTGTGCTCCTTCATGAGGAGTAACAGGCGTAAGTAATTTAAATAAGTATTTATGTATTTGAATAACAAGTCTTTGTTAGAATTTAAAACTGAGTTATGAATTAGTAGTTTGTGATTGCAATGTACAATGTTGAAAATCTGAAACAAATTATTTAGTTTGAAAGTAAGTGGTTGTTATGTAATCAACCTGGCTTAAAGTGGATAAATGAATTACAGATTGTAAAGGTTATATATAATCTTATAGAAATAGCTGATTATCCATTGTGTGTAATTTATTTTGAAATGAATTTGTTTAGTATGTTTTTCTAAGTTAAAAGGTTGATCAAGTTTAAATTTATTCATATAATATTATTATTTAAACACAAACATCAATACAAGGAGGTACCAGATACATATGCACTACATAAATCATTCAATTTGTGTGAGAGCTGGGATACTTCCCGGGTGGCTGTATACGCGCGGCCATGTGAGAGCATTTCGAGAAGGAGAGCTGGTTCTTCCCACTGTCGGCCGTACCAAGGCATTTGGAGGCTAATATATCATTATCGAATTGCTGAAACAAAATTTCTTATCATTAATTTACAGGTTTGAAATACTATTCCATGTACTTTGTGATCTAGGACAGAATCAGTTACTTCATCATTCAATTTTTACATTACTAATGATTGCTAACTAACCAGAGACATATAGACAAAATGAAACAGTTGTTTAATACTATCTAACTATCCTCATAAAACACCTTAATAAACCTACAGCTTAACAGCCCCCGAATGCCCTGGTACGGCCGAGAGTGGGGAGAGTCCGCTCTACCTCTCGAAATGCTCTCACATGGCCACGCGTATATAGCCTCTCCCGGGGAAGTCCTACTCACTGCCTTCTCGTGGAGGGGGTGTTGTTTACGAAATCTCCTTACGTTGCTCCACTGCCTTGTAGATCAAACCTTCAGGCCGAAGGCTCCAGGTGTGGTCGTCTAAGGAAACCACCTGCTTCTGTTTGGGCACCCGGGCAGTATCACAGCCCTCACACATATCAAATGAGATCTGTGTGGCGCATATGTATTTGGTGCCTCTTTGTACCAATATCTATGTGTTAAAATAAATAATAAATAAACAGCTTAACAGCTAAATATATTCTATTACTTTAAATAACGAATATATTATCGAAAAATACTGTAGTAAACGAGAACTAAAATGACGAAGACCGGTTTTGTTGTTTAATGCAAAATTACTGAGTTCTTTCGTAAAATATGAAAAAAAAACATATATTAAACACATTTCATCAGTTGTCCTTTACGTGCTTCCTGACTCTGTCAGTTCTGTTGTTATTACAATTACTTTCTGTTCTCTTCAATTTAATTTTTTTAATCTTCTGCCACCATGCATTTCACTTCTAACTGGTGTCACATACTACTTATATCTGTCAACATAAGTAACATACACCACAGTACACCATATTATCGTTAGTGTTGTTGCTGACCTTTCTACATGTTCATTTATCACATGTTTGTTTGATATTTATATCATGGGTGTTGAAATGGTAGAAATGTATTCTTCATTTAGATATTTTTGGTAATGTTACACTCTCTAAACTGAGTAGTTTAATTAAAAAGCTTTCAGAAGGGGTTTTGTGGAGATTTTATAAATTTCGCTGGTTGAAATCATGAGTCAATTGAAGCTAGACCACCATGGAAAACTTGAAAGCATTGGTTCGAATCTTATGGTGTGCGGGATCGTGGATGCGCACTGCTGAGGAGTCCCATACTACGACGAAATGGCCGTCCAGTGCTTCCAGGTTTTCCAGGGTGTTCTAGCTTTAATTGACTCATGATTTCAACAAGTAAAAGTTTTCGTGATTCTGAATATCGTCAACACTTACTTTAAGTAGAAGTTTAATTGTCTATAACGAATATCAAAGATGGCACAATTATACATTTAAATTTGGAAAATATTTTGTTTATTATACCCTACTTTTCTAGGATTCTACTAAATTGACATTTTCAAAGCCGCTTATTGCAGCAATTGCTGGAAAAGCTATCGGTGCTGGTTTAGAACTAACATTAGCATGTGATTTACGTGTTGCCGAGATTGATTCCATATTGAGTTTACATAAACGAAAACATTGTAAGTCGTTTTAATTGATACTGTCCATAATTTAATTTAATTAGTCTTTTACTAAATATTTAATTAGTCAGTTTTGAGATGATGGGGAAGATTTGTAGTTCAGGTAGATGATTTGGATGAAGATTTTGTTCTCTGAGCTGGATGGTTTGGTCGTGGAGGTTTCATCATTCTTCTGAACGACATCATCACAAACTTCAGGTAGGAGTGAAGGGTTCGGACGCATAATCGACTGGGAAAATGTGGAAATTTTGGATAGAGGCAATTCCAAAAACACCAGAGAATTTTTAGAAGCTTGGCACTCAGGCCAATCAGCAATCAACAAGCATATTGAAATCCACCCAATTTATCAACCAATCAGGAAAATTATGGACAAACATAGGAACAAAAATCGAACCAATGCGAGATCCAACCAAAAAAAGAAGTAAACAATTACAGGTTTAAGGTCAACAAGAACCAACCAGCATCGAGGTGTACAGGACAAGCTGTCAACCACATGTGGAGAAATTCGAACACTCCACTTCTATCTGAAGTTTGTGCTGATGATGTCGTTCAGAAGAACGATAAAAGCTCCACGACGAAACCATCCAGCTCAGAGAATAAAACTCCATCAAAATTAGTCAGTTTATTTATTCTCATACCTTATGGACTTTTCATCTTAAAATCTCTAACAAGTAATTATTAAGATCATTTGTGGTTTATTTAAGGTATCTAAAGATTCGATTAATATAGTTTAAGTTGAAAATAATTGATAGTATGTGAGTTCCAAATTTAGAATTTAATTTATTGTCCTGAAACATCACTTTTCATTTTACGTATTAATTTCCTAGTCCAGGAAGTTTTAAATTTATTTAAGAGAAGTGCCGTAATGAGTTCAGATCTTTGTTCTTGCTTTCTTCAACATGTTAAGGAATTTTTGTGTATGAAATAATGCAGCTATCACGTTGGTAGAATTTTAATATACCTATGATCTTGAGTAACGTCAAAATGACCATGAAAGTTTCATGTCTATTGTTATCCGTAAAGTAAATAGATCTTTAAAATCAGGGGCCTATTACTAGAAGGATAATGTGACTTATGATTTTTTCTAAAGTTTATAATCAGTTTCATAGATTTTAAAGCGGAATATTTCCTCTACACTGATTTATTCATTTTAGGAAAGATCAATTTATTTTTAGGTCTTTCGTGAAACCATAGATACTCAATGATAAGCAATTTAAGGATCTAATGAATAAAAGCTTTGCTAAGTCCTGTGAGTCATGTGTGAATGCGAAACGCGAATATCCGGTGCTTTAACCGGGTTGGTTGACACGGAGAATCCACCTAGGGGAGTTGGAAACCCTGATTCCAAACCAATGGTGCACATGGGCTCCAGTACCTTAAGGGAACAAATGGCGTATGAACCAATCGTTAGTCACTGGCTTCCATGGGACTGCATCTCCTTACGTTACTCCACTGTCTAGTGGATCAGACCTTTAAGTCAAATGCTCCGGGTGTGGCCCCTTAAGAAAACCACTTGTTTCGGTTTGGGCGCCCGGGCAGTATCACAGTCCTCATACAAATCAAATGAAATTTGTGTAGCGCATTGTATCTGGTGCCCTCTTGTACCAATATTTATGTGTTCAAATAAAATAAATAAAATAAGAACTATGGTGTATTTTGTTTACTTATAAAAATAGTGCACCACATAAGACTATCTATGTTAAATGGGGTTTTATGAAATATTTACTACTAATCTAATAGTTGATAGGTGAGTTTTCGAATCGTTGTTTAAATCACAAACACTAAGTTTAAAATGACAAAATATATGAAATCTAATATTTCAGGTGGAAGTTAGTGGGTATCTGACTAGAATTCAGAATTTATACAGTAGTTACTATGTTATATCCTGATGAGAATAATGAAGAGTAACTATTGGAATCTGTTTCTGGACTAATACTATATTTTTTATCGTATAATTGTTAACTAACTAAGCTATTTGTATTCATGTTCCTATTATTATAAGCTATATTTTGACCTATGAACTATTATTATACGATTTACCATTCTCGAGTTATGCCCAGTTTATCAATTACTGTCTCCCTTATTCGCAACCAATCGCAACGACAAATGCAGGAGAAAACGACCAGGGTAGCAGCAGCCTCAGCAGCAGTAGGTCTCAATATACACTAAGGGAAAACAAGGTTCTCCGATACAACACAGCATGCACCAATCCAGTTACAATTGGCGGAGAAGATTTGTAGGATGTAAAAACCTTTACATATCTGGGCAGCATCATTGTTGAACACGGTGGGTCTGATACAGATGTGGAGGCGCGGATCGGCAAAGCAAGAGTAGCATATTTGAGACTGAAGAACATCTGGAACTCCAAAGAAATGTCAGCCAACACCAAGGTCAGGATTTTCAATACAAAGGTCAAGACAGTTCTACTGTATGGGGCGGAAACCTGGAGAACTATGAAAGCCATCATCCAGAAGATACGGGTGTTTATTAACAGTTGTCTACGCAAAATACTTCAGATCCGTTGTCCGGACACTATTAGCAACAACCTACTATGGGAGAGAACAAACCAGATCCTAGTGGAGGAAGAAGCGCTGGAAGTGGATAGGACACACATTGAGGAAAGCACTCAACTGCGTCACAAGACAAGCCCTCACATGGAATCCTGAAGGTCAAAGAAAAAGAGGAAGACCAAGGAACACATTACTCCGGGAAATGGAGATAGACATGAGATAGATGAACAAGAATTGGATGGAATTAGATAGGAAGGCTCAGGACAGAGTGGGTTGGAGAATGCTGGTTGGCGGTGTATGCTCCATCGTGAGTAACAAGCATAAGTATGTAAGTAAGTTATTCACAACCACTTTTGGCTAAATCTTGTACAAGTGTTGTTTCCTATTTTATGGCACGATGTGGTCTGTTTGGTTGGTGTATAAACTCTGTTTGTTTGAAATATAATGATTCATATTGCACAGGCTGAGATTGGTGTTCTGGACTTAACAGGGAGGGCTAGGTGGGAAACAGGACCGATAAGGACTCTAGACTGCTCTTACGGGTTTTATGCGTCATTGATTCGGTCGATAAATTACTGTTCTCCATTTGGTGGTATCATTACCAAATATCTCGAATTTATTGTAAATCTATACATTTCCATTAATTTTATGATGAAAAAACTCGGAATATGTGAAACTTCACAAAGTATTGTGAAAATGTAAATTGTTGATTATATGCTCATTTACTAGTACGATATGAATCACTTCTTCCGTATAGGCGATATTTGAAATTCCAATCTCTATGAGAATCGTTTTTCATGATAAAAAAGAGCAGAACTTTCAAGTCTTTATTTATTTTATTGATACAAATATGTAAATTGTTTTAACATTCCAAAATCAGGTATACCAATGATGAATATGGGTACAATACGTTTACCAGGATTAATAGGTTTGTCTCGTTCTCTTGACATGATACTAACTGGACGTGAATTGCATGCTAATGAAGCCTTGGAATTTGGATTAGTTAATCGTGTTACTCCAACTGGAACTGGTAAGTTTTATTTTTTATTAATTTACTTACTACCATGAAGCTTATGAAAGTTGGTTTCTTTCAAATAAATATGTAACTACTTTTGAGTAGTGTAAAATTATTCACAAATTTATTCAGTCTTAGATGCCCAGATGATACTCTGTAATATCAACGACTGAATTGAAAACAATGATATCACATCAATTTTATTCACATATTTCAAATATTACATTGGTTTTCCGTTTTTAGAGTTATAGAGCATTCATTCTGAGTCATCGTTGTTCGGTAACTAAATATGGATAGAACAATTAGTCGTATCCCTGTAGTGTGTTGTACAAAATTGCAATTTATTACCATCGTAACACCACCGATTCACAAATTAGAATCTCAAATAATAACCATACGAAGTGTACTAATAATTTCATGGTTTTAATTAATATTCCAACATAAACTTATTAAAAATCATAAGAAAAAACTAATTTTCCTTGTTTATTTTAAATTAACCTTAAGTTTAACAAATACTGACTTAGTACATAAAAGATCTTTAGCCTGTGTTCTATCAAATCAAAGGCTTGTTTTTATTCATTGTTAAGTGTTATCACAAAGGTTATCATATTCTAAATACGTATGAAATTTTGATAGTTGAATTCATTAGTCAGTCTAAGCTAGACCGCCATGGAAAGCGCGGGAGCACTAGGCGGCTGTCTTGTCCAAATGTAAGACTCCTCACCAATGCTCATCCACGAGTCCGCGTGTAGGACGTGAATTCAAGCCCTTCGGTCTCTCGTGCGGACGTCTAACTTCTTAACCACCGAGCCAGCACCCAACGGTGTTAATGTCCAACTCCAATTAGTCCATGATCTTGCGCGATCCTTCATCTGTTGTCTGACATGGATAATTTTTTCTACCCGACACGGACTGGACTCCACTGGTTACGGCTCCTCACTAAAGCTAATTACTAGTGAGTACATGATTATTATCAGAATGGTGATTTATAGAAATCAGTAATAATTTTAATAGTTAGATTCATGAATTGAACTAAGCTATATCACCATTGAAGACCTGAAATCACTGAACTGCCGTTTCTTCCTAGTATGAGACTCCTCAGCATTGCTCATCTCGTACGAAATGATTAACATTTTGACTAGATCAACTAACTAGTAATTCATTTTCATTGATTTGTTTGCCTATTTTTGCTATTTCATCATCTTGAGAATTATTAAATTTATCATTTTTCCTTTTTCATATTTTAACAACACTTTGTTAGTTGTTTATATATTTCTCAAAATGTAATGACCTATCATTTTTATTCTATGCTCACTTTATTCTGCCCCCGCCCTTGTTATTGCCGTTGTTGTTGTTGTTATGTTGATTATCTTTTTTTCTTATAAAGTTTTGAAAGTTGTTGTTTCTTTTTGTTTTTATTGCAGGTAATCCGTCATTTTATAATCTTGTTTTCATGTGTTAAGTTGTTTTTCTCTTAACTACCATACTTCATTCAGCAACATTATGCAAGTTTACTATACTTTAACGGTTAATTTACCTTTGATCATTATATATATACATATGTATACTTGTTTTCACACTGTATAGAAATTTTACATTGTTCAAGAGTGCTCATAGGAACGTAATGGTATGTTCTGTCTTTTATTAAAGATGACAGTTACATTACAGTATCAAGTTAAGAAATACATAATATTTTCAGTAATCATATGCTGGTATACAAAGAATCCTTCAGTAAACTTATTCCTTTCTCCGTCAATTATTGAAATCATATTGATTATTTCTCAGTTAATTTAAAAAAAACAATTGTCTGTATAGGGTTGTGAAGATTATTAAGTTTTTGATTGAGATCATGAACCGATTGATGTTAGACCACCGTTGGAAAACTGGAAGTAAGTCATTGAAGATAATGGTGGATGTGTCGTTCAATTTCGTGGATTGGTTGGTGTTAGACATTAACACCATTGAATGCCGGCTCAGTGGTCCAGTAGGTTGAGCGTTCTCGGCGAGACTAAAGGCCATGGTTTCGAATCCGCGAGCGTGATCGCGGATGCGCATTGCTGAAGAATCCCAGAATAGAACGAAACAGCCGTCCAATGCTTCCAGGTTTTCAACGGTGGTCTAACATCAATCGGTTCATTATCTCAGTTAAAAAACAATTATTTTCATTCCAATTGGTTGATCATGGCTTCTGTTTACTTAAGTCAACGTTTCAATTGAGAATACTTAAAAAGTTCAAGAAATCTAGATTTATTCATATTGTTAGATGATTTCTTGTGTTTGTATTTAAATCTTTATCTTTCATTATATTGTTAATCCTAGGTAGTTGACGGCACTCGTTAACAAAGTGTATCTAGAATTTTAATAGGAATGATACGCCTCATTTGAATGCATTGATAGAATGCCATTCAGCGATAACAGCTCATAACTAAATATCCTACCGCTGAACAAATTATCAGTGAGAAATTATTTTGTCTCCTCTGTAAACAAACTATAGAATAGGATTCTACAATTTTGATAATATTGAGTAAAAACTATACTATTACTATCAAATGTTGAGGACTGAATTCTAACTGAGTGGTTTCAAGGTATTGAAACCAGTCCTAGGTTGAATCCCTTGTAATATTGAGGATGGACAATACTGATAAGCAGTTAGCAGAGAAGAAACGCCTCGATTAATCCTTCATTTGATGTTATGTTTCAACTAATTATGTCCATAATCAATATCAAAAACGATTTTTCTTTTTTTTTATTGAACAAAAAAGTTGTACATATGTATATATAATACTAATGGAATCAAATGAACTTGGCTAAAGGTAATACGAAATGTAGTTTACTCTGTTGACAATGATAAATGGAGAATTGTTTTATTCTGGAAGCATTAGTTACGTTCGAATTATTATGATAATCACTATATTAATAAAATGTAACAACTGAATTTGTATGTACCATGCATATCTGACCAATTATTTTAACTGATTTTACCCGAGTAATAAATAGTTACAAAAATTTGGATTCATTGATCAAATATCCCTTTATAAACGGATATCTAAAAGTAGAATAACTTGTCAACAAACATGAGTTATTGTACATACCCAAATGACATACTTATATACAGATTATTTAATATAGAAATATGTAGTTAACGAACTCTGAAAACATAAACTGGATTCAGATTTGATAGATCACCTACATTCCGGTTAATGTTTTTATTTATCGAGTTAAAATATGAAAATTATGCACTAAATACATCATTTGCATATCTTTGTACTGTCTTTTACATACACCATTATTCCTACAATTCTGTTGTTATTTCGATTACTCTCCGGTTTCCTTCTTGTTCCTTTCATTTCAATCTTCTGCTGCCAGGCAGTTCACTTCTGATTGGTGCTACATATTACTTATACTTATATTTACCTCTGATGTCCGCTCAGTACCCGTTACGTCCCACATCCTCCCCCGGTCGACAGGGACTACTACGCCCAATATCGCCTTGCCAGAACACTGCACTCGATGTCTTCTTCCTGGACCAGTTTGCCACAACTAAGTATCTTGCGACGGTGTCCGCAGAAATGCACCTTCTCCGCTTCCTCTTTGGCAGCGACACCAAATGTATTGAACGAGAACTCAAGTGGGGAACAGCAATTAAGTAGTACCAACATTTCGCGATTAGTTATGAAAATATCGAATGATTCACTAAACAATTGATAGAATAAAGTCAAGGTGATTATAGATCCCAAAATGCCCTGGTACAGGCGAGGGTGAGGAGAGTCGGCTCTCCTTCTTGAAATGCTCTCACACGGTCACGCGACTAAAGCCGCTGTCCGGGAAATCTTACTCACTGCCTTTTCACAGCAGGGTGTTGTCTACGAAATCAAAAGGGCGAAAAGTGAATGCCCGGTGTTTTAATCGGGTTGGTGGATATGGAGGGTTCACCTAGGGGAGTTGGAAAACCCTGATTTCAAACCAATGGTTCACATGGGCTCTAGGATCCTAAGGGAACAAATGGCGTATGAACCAATGGTTGGTTACCGGCTACCATGGGACTGGATCTCCTTACGTTGCTCTACTGTCTTGTGGATTAGACCTCTAGATCAAAGGCTCAGGTAGTGGCCTCCTCAGAAAACCAGCTGCCTCAGTTTGAGCACCCTGACCGTATGCAAGCCTTTACACAAATCGAATGATTTATGTGGCACATATCTATTTGGTGCCTTCTTATACCAATATTTATGTGTTTAAATAAATAAATAAATAAATAATAAATATTGTTGATTCGATTCCTTAGGAGGGAGTTGTGGGTGTGTATTGTTGTAAGGTCAGGACAAAGCAGCTACCTAGTACTCTTTAGTTTCCAATCGTACTTAAACTGAAATTAGTCTATAACGAATCTAACCTACAAACTATGTTAATAGGCCTTTTTTTAAAGAATTTTATATGAATATTCATTGAATTGACCGAATCTATCTTTTCTACAGTTACGTAGTTAACATTATCTTCCCTTTTTATATATTATTATTACTATTATTATCGTTATTATTGCTAATATTGTTACTGTCCATCTGAGTCCTTTCATTAAATTAAAAAGTGAATGAATGAATGAATGAATAATTGAACATTTATCACTCTGCTGATCTTTTTCATTTATGACAGAGTGACTTTTTTTATTCCTCTTTCCTCCCCCCTCCACCTCTGAAATAAATGAATGTTATTGCTATGATTTCTCTTTTCTTTTTTTTTCGTTTTTCCTTTCTATTTTGTTTCAATTATTACAGAGATAAAAATTATTTTAATTTTAGCCATTGATCATTGAATAGTTTGATTGAAAAATTATCACAAATATACTACTTCCTTGATATACTACTATTATTACTATTATTACTATTATTATTATTATTACTTGGGTGAGTTGTTTAAACTAGAGTAATTATAGATAATAATAATAATATTGAGTGTTATCTAATTTTACAATTAAAACGTGTTCTGTTCCTTTTTTTTTAGAAAAAAATGTTTGATCGACA